AAACTGAAAATTCCAAATACTAAAAATATTTCGTTCCAAGAAAAGAGTATGTTAAAGTTGCTTCAAATAGTTTAACTCATAAATCCATCGGAAGTAATAAGTCTTCGTTTAGTCTTGGATATTCGATCTTGGCTTTAGTCTTGGTCTTGTTTGTTTGGTCATGGTTTTAGCCTTGGTCTTGTTCGTTCGGTCTTGGTCTAAGTCTTACTAGCATAAATACATTCTTGGATTGCATCTTCGTAAGACCAACACTCAGTTTGCAAGACCAAGATGAGCTTTGCTCATCAGTAACAATCTCTGCTACTGCCTGGCGCTTTCATATGTATATGTACATCACCATCGGCTGTAATGTATTTGAACTTTTTGGGGCTGGAAGAACTTAGGTAAAACGAGAGGCAATGCCAAAATAATTCTCGAACACTACCAAACTTTTTCTAGTAATGTTCAAGAAAATTATTACTAAATATATGTGTTTCCACCCCATAATTTCAGTTTCAGCATCTATGAAAACTGTATGGGGTTGTTTTACGTAGTACATTTTCAGCAACCTATAAGAAAAGAAAGAAGTTCTGACCAACTGACTTACTAAGTCATCAACCTGAAGGCTAAAGCCTTAGATCTTTAGATAGCTGGAATTCTGCAGAGGTTTCCTTTATGATGTATACAATGAGTAAGAAAGGGTTTATGGCATTAATTCTCTTAGGGGGTGATACTATTTGAAGCTTCGTATTAATGCCCTTAAAAAAAATTAATCAAACCAAATTCGACAGTTTAAAGTATTACAATATAGGTGTGAATAAGACACTTAGACAAAATTTCGCAAAAAAGTTAAGTTTATCCCAATTAGTTAATTAGACAGATATCCGCATAGTGTACGCAAAAATATATAAGACTTTATGATTACGTCAAATATCAAAGAGTTTATTAAGAGTTTCGTTTTACTTTTAGAGGTACGGAAGTCAAAAACTTGAATATACGAAGTGAAAGGTGGAGCAGAGGGATCAATCCTCGCACATACCAAGATTTTTAATAATTCAGGAGTTAATTTAGATGGTACATGAACCTTGAGGTTTATTTCATCTGCTTTCTGATTTGTCGTTGACTTGTTCGCTCATTTTGTCCACTATCGAGTACGTGTGCAGTTCTCCCTTTTGGAATTGTTCTGTAAAACAGGCTACGGATTCTTCAGTTATTTCGACGCCGTATTCCATAACGGCAACTTTTCGATTCGATATGTCGACAGCTACCAATAAGGGAACAACGTCGTCGATGCCGGTCAGTTCTCGAACAATGTCTGCCGTTTCCGAATCCACTCCAATGAGGAATTGCAGGTACAGCTCGTGGTCGCATCCGTAAAGGAAATCTTCGTCAGGTGTGTCCAGATTGATGTTGCTCTTTTTGTAGTAGGCCTCTGCCACCGGGCGGAGAACTGCTTCGGCAAACTGAACTTCGGTTTCTTCACCATCTAACACAGAATGAACAACTGTTATGTCAGCTAGGGCTCCTTCTAATTATGATCATGAAATTGGCACAGAAAAGTGGCCGAAATTAATTTAGAAAATGCCGAAATTAGGAAGTTGTTGGGAGGTATTTTATTGTCTTGGCTAAATCTGCGTGAAATCTGTTTTATTATAAAGATTAGCTTCTAAAAACAACCACACGGTTAAACGACATACAGTGGATTTCGGGTATACGACAACGAAGGGACTACTGTAATTTCGTCCCTATATCCGGAAGTCATTATAGGTAAAGGTAAAGAGATACAGACACGTACGTATAATTGTCACAATTTTTCAATTTTCAGAATATCACTTTGTAACTGAACTATTTTAACGTACACGCTTACTTACCTACCTGGCTAAAATCTAAAAACAAACGGTAAAGGTGACCACACCTGCTGATTATCTGCGTGGATGTAAATAAAAGATAAGAAAGCTCTTTGTGTCCTTAGCGCCCAACTCCGGACTTCGTTTAGTTTCTCTAGCGATGTGACCTTTAGCTTGATCGGCGCAAAGTAGAAAAGAATAGCACTAGGCCAGAAAAGGAGACAACTCTCGGCCAAACTCTTAACCGGTGAGGAGCGTAAAATCCGTACAGTACTGCACGGAAAAATTGACTATTTTATCCACTAAAATTACATTGTATTCAAATGTGCTGTTATTGGTATCAATTACTACTGAAAATATCAACGAGATGTTTATTTTATATTTGAAGACATATTAAAGGATTAAACGCTTGTTTTCGACTCGCACTACTATTCATGATTGAACAAAACTTTTGGCAGGTACTGTACAAAAAAGTATGTTTAATGAACAAGAGCCGAGAGTATAATGAGCTTTTTCCTCCTTACCTACGATTTTGCCAGCGCGCATCCAAGACATTGGAAGGGGCACATCGCTAGAGATAGTAAACGAAGTATACCAAAGCTGACTCGCGTAATTTGCCTAAAATAGACTTATTTGTGGTGCTGAAATATGTGACAAAAGACAATAACTTGAACGCCGAGAAATACGAAACGCTAAGTTGGTAAGCTGCGAGTACGTACAAAGTGACTCCAGTAAGAGTAGGGGGTATTTATATTTCCGCTGTGGTTCGGAGGGATGCGGTATTGATAGATTGTTTAACTATTTTTTGAAGATTTAATGAGCATGGAAGTGTTCCATCGTGCTTTTGGCGTACGAGCCTATGATCGCAATGATGATTCAATGATCCTCAACGATTATATCGTGCAAAATTCATTATACGGAATACAATCAGAAAATAGATGAGAATGTACGGGAATACCGGTTAAACTGCGAAAATTTACAATCCAGATCGCTCGCCTTATGTTCGAACCCAACAAACGATCGAAGAAATGAGAGTGTCAGTGCGTGAAAGTCCGCCTCAATCAGTTCTCCAACGGAGACAAGAACTTGACATTAAAAAATCATCGTCATATAAGATTCTGAAGTAAGATTTACATTACAAAATTCAGTTTGATCGAAAACTGAACGTTATCATCATCCTCTCCGACTGAATTTTGCAAAATGAAATGCTTCAACGCTTTCCAACATTTGGAAACACTTTGTTTAGTGACGAAGCGAAGTTTCACTTAACTAGTCAAGTAAACAAACAGAACTGTCGCTACTGGGCCAAAGAAAATCCAAGACATAAACATTAATAACCACTACATAGTCCAAAATTTATTTGGTGAGCTGCCATGTCTGGTAAAAGCATCATTGGACCTTCTTTTTTTGAAGACCGGCGAGGGCGAACATTTACGGTAAACAGTGACCGGTATTGTAATATGTTAAAAAACCTTTTGGTTCCACAACTGCAAGAGTTTGGTGGTTTTAATGTGGAAAGATAATTTTTACAAGATGGGGCTACTTGCCGCACCTTAAACCAGTCGTTTGCGGTTGTAAATCAACTTTTTCCGGAAAAAGTGATCTCTCGTCGAGGCACCATCAATTGGCCTCCGAAAAGCCCCCATCTCACACCTCCTAATTATTTTCTATGGGGATACCTTAAAGAGAAGGTGTACGCAAACAAACCACGATTTCTACTGCAATTGAAGTACAACATCTACACCGAAATGGTCGCCGTTTCCAGAGAGATGTGCAGACGCGTGGCGGCTAATTTCCGTTTTTGGTTGGTGAAATGCCAGCAGTGCGAGGGTCAACATTTAGAGAATATCATCTTTGGCATTAAATTTCCCAAAACTGTCTAAAAATTAACAAAAAAAATTTTTTTGTGACTTGAATTGAATTTACCAACACCCCCTATCCTTTCTGGACATCTAGTATCATTAGTATTATCAAGTCTACGTTTGGGCGATGTAACAAAAGTTAATTTATATTTTTGTTTTGAACACATATTAAGAGAGTAGTAGGTTACGTTTCCTTTTCCAGTGTTCTTACAGTTAGGCTCATAACTCGGAGTAGGAATTTTGAAAATTAATTGAGCACACAAACAATGAAGACTTTCGTATCTTCAACAGCCTCAACGTATCATGACAACGCAACGTGTGCTTACTGTGTATCATAGTACTGGTGACGGCACGCGCTCTCTTCAATATCATAGAGGCGTTTTGAATCTGACTGGATTCCGTAGCGCTGTAGCGGACTCAAAAGTGATTTTTGAACAGGAGCAAAAAAAATGTATACACAAATTTGAATGCGTAGATCTCAAATATGAAATAAAGAAAATTTCACGTCCCAATCCAAGTGAACTATCAAAAATCATCGAAGTTATTGAGCCAGCGTCACATGAAGCTAACACATAATAAATTGTGAGTTAAAACTTTAGGGAACAGTAGATCTGATTTCATTGATATTTTACAGATTTTTTTATTTACCTTTATAGCCAAATCTAATTTTTCAGTTCGATTTTCGCAGTCGAGTTTTTTATTTTTTAGCATACCTACCACACATTTATTTTAGTCCACAACCATTGCAAATTGATGGTAGTGAAAATAAGCAATTTTAATTTTTATTTTCGAACAGTATACAACACAGGCATCATTTTATTTTTTTCAGTGAGTAATATTTAAAAAAAAAATTATTTGCCTGACTTATTAAAACTTACCTGTGCCATAGAATAGACCATACTCACCTACAAACAGTATCACAGCTGGATAATCATACAATTTGGCGATGTATCTGTCCGTCAAAACATTGACAGGTTTTGGTTTCCACGGGAAATTCTAAAATGAAAGCAATTTTTTAAATCTCTAATTACTTTTGTTATTATTTAAGTAAATGTTACTTCAAATTATGCAAGAAAATAATATCATTCTTGAATGCTTTTAGAGTATCTGTCTGCAATAAAATTTATTGATTGAATGTAAACATTTAAAATTACTTGTCCTTGCGGATCCTCAGTCACATCCTGTCTCGCATCGTAGGTTATCAAATGGCCGTTTGAGTCGATAAGCAGTAAAGTCGGTATTCCTCGAACTCCAAAAAGTTGGGCAAGTTCTGTTCGAATGTTAGTCCGTCTCCAGGGTACCGCAAGCCACGGCATGCATTCAATGGACCCGTTGAACGATTCCTCGCTTCTATTTGAAAATGTCAATCAGACAAAGCGTGTTTTACAGACATATGTACCTATGTTTGCTTAAATGTAATGAAACAAATATATACTTCGTTTACTTTCTCTAGCGATGTGCCCCTTCCAATGTCTTGGATGCACGCTGGCAAAATCGTAGATAGGGAGAAAAAAGCTCATTATACTCTCGACTCTTGTTCATTAAACATACTTTTTCATACAGTACCTGC